AATGATGAATGGCTTGTCAAACTGTAAAAGTATTTTTATTTTAATTACAGCCACCAAAAATCCTATTTCCAAAAAAAAAGATTAGTTTAATAATTAAATTCCCTCTGCCACCACGAGTAATAATTAGTTAACCAAATATTAAGTCTTCTCTCGGTGGACTTATGATACAGCTTTTGAACATAAGTGACTTCACTTCCAGAGAAGTCATATAAGTGATACACACCAGTGCATCTGCCACAGACCTCAGGTCCCAGGCGGAACTCTGCAGGTATCACAGGTCCTGTGCGTGCTAACCACTGCTTGCAGAGGAATCAGTCGGAGACCTCTCCAAGCCCTATACGAAGGCGTTTCAAATGTTTGTCCGTGCTCTTGGGATTAAGAAGTCACAAATCCATAGGAAAGTGTTGCTGAATTCCTAGTAGCCTTTGATAAGTATTGTTGGAATCAGCAGACACAAAACTCCAACTGCCACCATGAGGGATTGATCCAAGTGTATTCTGAGTCTATATTTATAGATGGGTGGGGACCTCGGGAGCCACATGTTCAAGACTAACTGACTCAGGATGGCATTCAAGGCCTTCCAGCTTCAGGCAACTCAGAGGGCAGTAGAGGCAGGAATGAAAGAGACAGGTTTAGAAGTCAGATGGGCTGTGCTCTATGCTCCACACTTAGCTGGTTGGCCTTGGACAAGCTGCTTCACTTCTCTAAGCCTTAATCGCCTTGCTTGTAAAATAAGGACAATAACAGTACCTACCTTATTATCCCAGTGGACACCACCCCATAATGCCCTGGGACACCTTGATCCCTGAGGAGGGGGACCCTGGTGATGAGGGAGGACGGAGCTAGACAGAGCCAGCTGGAGCCGGGGCAGTGGTCAGCGACATGCCCTGCACATGCGCGTAAAAGTCTAACCAAAATGTCTGCACATTGCAAGCCTGCAATAAGTATTTCTTAGTTATTGTTACAAGGGGTAGGTCACTTGCCCACCTGTCTCTAGCTGGCTAGCTGTCCTAACCTGTGTGATCATTTAAAAGCACACTCTAGCCCAGTGTTTCTCCATCTTTTTATTCATTATCTTTTAAGACATTATTTCTCCTAATTGCTTTCCCCATGAAATGTTAATACCAAAGATAGGTTGCAATTCTATCTGTGATGATTAATTTTATGTGTAGACTTGGCTGGGCCATGGGGTGCTGGAGTTGCAAACCCCACCTGTGACATACAAACTGGGGGAGTGAAGGAGTTACAGGCTCTGGGTGGAAGGTTTTTGGGTAAGTGAGACTGTGACACAGCCTCTTGGGGCCTCTTCTCTGAGTCCTGCCCTTCAAGGCAGGGCTGGACATCTCCCCTGAGAGCTGGTCCTAGGACTTTCAGGCCCACCTAGAAACCTTCTTGCCTGTTCCTTGTTCCCCATAATCCCAGCCTTCCTTCAAGCTCTTAACCCAAACTCTTTTTTATTCCTCCACATAAAAAGAAAATCTCTGGTTTCCTCCTTTCTTCTTACAATCATCTTGAAGACATTTTAAAACCAGAGCTCGATTGATTCAAAACCACAGTCTACTTTTCCCTTGAGTACAGGGAGGAGCCAGGCATCAAACAAATGTTTCTCAGAAGTCTGGGGGGATGTTTGGATTCCATCCTTAGAGGTACATGTGCCTCATGTCCTAGAATGGGTTAGATCATGTTAAAGCACTTGTCATGAAGCTTCTGAATTAAAATTGGTTGACTGTATCCTGTTGTATTCTTCATCTCAACCCCATGAGGTCAGTCCTATTATCAGCCCCATTTTAAAGATGAGGCAACTCGGGCACAGAGAGGTTAGGTAACTTGCATAAGGTCACACAGCTAGTAGGCAGCCAAGCTGGGTTTCAAGCCCAGGTCTTTCTGACTTAGAGCCTGACCCCTTAAAACACAAGCAAACTCTAAGAGGCTCAGTGATGCTCTGGCCTCAGGAAAGGAGTTAAGTCCAGGAAGCATTTGCTCTTTACTCTTTCTCTGGCTTCTGGATTTAATAGGCATTCCACATATATATGTGAAAGACAGAGGTTGCTGAGAGAAATTGCAGTGGCTTACCTATGGCAGGCAGTCAAGCGAAGGATAACTGAGGTGTGGTGGGGTCTACTTTGGCTCAGGAGGAAAATGATGCTTCATTTTGCCCCAAGCCCAACACCAAAGGCCAAAGGATGACAGCCTGCCCTGTGTCCTCATGGGCAAAACTGAAACTTGCAAAGCGACCTGGAGAGGAGGTGGCTCGGGTGATCAGAATATTGAAAAGCTAAAGAAAGGTTTGGAGAATTATTGTGACAGTGACATAGGGAAAAAAAATCACTTTATGTTGAAAATGTTTTCCCAAGGACAAAACTAAAATATTTAGACAGAATCTGTTAGAATCTACAAAAGTCTGCTTTCCCAGATACTAACTTTTGACATTGTCACCCAACACACACATGTTAAATCTAGAATTTACAAGGTAATAGTTTTAGTGATGATGAAGTATTTATATAGGACCTGGGAAGTTTTTTCTTTTGATTACAAAAGTGATATGAGTTTATGGTAAGAAAGTGAAACAGAAGGGACTAAACTGATTTGTAAAGGTCTTACCCTGATGCCAACCATTCATTTCAACTCCCCAGAAACAATTGCTTCTGTTAAGAGCTTTTCTGTGCAGTCACAAGAAAGTATTGCTTGCTGATGTTTTTAAGACAAATGGGATGACATTATACATTATTGTTTTGCAACTGCTTTCTTCAGTACATTATACCATGTCTTGGGTGTCTTGCCATATACAGCTTTTAAAAATTTTATGACATCCCATTTATTTGGGATGCATGAAGAAGTTTTGACGAGTCGCCTAGTAATTAACATTTAGTAGAAATGCCTGAGAAATAATGATCATCCGCAAAATGTTATGGTAATTACACATCTTTATACAAGCTCCCCACTAGCATGTAAGTCCTCTGGTGGCAAAGATTTTGCCTGCTTTGTTTTCTGATGAACCCCAAGCACTAGTACAGTGCCTGACTCATAGTGGATGCCCGATGCACATTGGTTGGATGAATGTATCTTCAAGTGTATATGTATCTATACAGACACACCTTCCAAAATTATTGCTTCACTACTCACAGATAGTGCCACCTATGTTTCCTTCTTTGTTTTGTTTTGATCAGCTAGGGACTTCATTTGTAGAGCTCAGTGTAGTAGAGATAGTGAATACTTGTGTATTAGTTTCCTGTTGCTACTATAACAAGTTACCACAAATTTCAGTGGCTTAAAACAACATAGGTTTATTATCTTTTAGTTCTGGAGGTCAGAAGTCCAAAAAGGGTCAGCAGGGCTGTGTTTCTTCTGGAGGTTCTAGGGGAGAATTCATTTCCTTGCGTTTTCCAGCTTCTATGGGCTGCATTCCTGGGCTCGCGGCCCCTTCCTTACCACTCCATCCTCTGCCTCCCTCCTCATACCCCCTTCTTTACTCTGACCCTCCTGTCTCCCTCCTTCCCTTATGATTACATTGGGACCATCTTGATCATCCAAGATAACTCCCCATCTTGAAATCTTTCAGTCACTCCTGCAAAGTCCCATTTGCCACATATAAGACATATTCACAGGTTCCAAGGATTCAGATACGACTTTTTTGGGGAGCCATGATTCTGCATACCATAGCTTGGGAATTAGGTCTGCATTTCAGTGTTGTCACCTCAACATGCGTACCGTAAATATGTGTTGAGTCCCTACTTACCACGTCCGTGGCTAAACCTAGGAAGTACACTACCTACCTCTGGGGTCTAGCTCCAGTTACATAACCTCCTTGAGACTCCATTGTCTCACTTGCAGAACTGGAGAGATTAAACCTGTCTCATACAAAATGCTGCGTGTAGAATGTCTGCAGACATCCGTTTCCATTGGCCAGCATTCAGGAATGATTACATGCTGTTTTAATCTTGACAAAATGTAAGTGAAATGCTGGGCTGAATAGTAACAAGGTAGAGAAACAGGTGCTCTTGTAAACTGCCGGTGTGGATGTCAATTGGTACAGGCTTTCTAGAGGGCCGTGTGGCTCTATAAATATAATGAAAAGACTTAAAAATGTTTGTTCTCCTTATCCCAGTAATTATCCATTTCTAAAAAGTGTCTTAGGGGCGTAGTTGAATTTATGTACAAAGATGTTCAGTGAACTGTTATCTATAAACTGGGGAGTGTGGACACTGTTCTCCCTGAGAAAGAAGATAGCTTAGTAGGTGGCTAGCTGGGCTCAAATTTATAAACAGTCTAAAATATTTTTAATCCCATTTGATTAAGAAATGAGGTACAATTTCACACTTCACGCTGTTCTATATTATCAAAGCTAGACTTCAAACTCAACTGTATCTAGAGTCCAAAGCACATCATCTTTCCCTTCCGTCATATTTGACCTCACTAAGTCTCCTTTTCTCCTAAGTACAAGTGAAATAAAATAGCTACCGTTTCTAGGTATAAAACAAACACTACCTATCCAAGGTGTCCCGTAAACTCTTCTGCTTATTCAAAACATTTTAATTCTGGGAGCACTTGGAAGATTGACAAAACTCTTTAAATTGTCAAGGTCGGGGAACTAAACTCCTTGGGTTTAATTCCCGTCTCCTGCTTTTTGGTACCTTGTGTTCTAGGTGTAGGTCTAGGCCGCCTGACTCTCAAATCGAAAGTACCAGAAAAGGTGGGAAAACTGAAGGCTCAGGGCTGGAGCCTGTGACGTGGAGGGGACACCTGTCGAGAGCACTCGCACCTTTTCGGGGACTCTACGAATCTTCGGCTCCACTCGGCTCCTTTCGGCTATAAGTTCGGCCAGCGATCGCCATCTCGGGCTCGGCTCTCTTCGGCTTCCTTCGGGCGACGCTCGTCTCGGCATTGGCTCCTCTTCGGCTGAGCTCGGCCGACTCTCGTCCTTTCGGGCTCGGCTCTCTTCGGCTACGTTCGGCCTACGCTCGTCTCGGCCTCGGCTCTGTTCGGCTGCGTTCGGCCCCGGCCCCGGAAGGGCGCCCATGGAGTCGGGACTGTCGACTCGACTGACTGCTATGGCGCCGCTGCTGGAGTATGAGCGGCAGCTGGTGCTGGAACTACTCGACACGGACGGGCTGGTCGTGTGCGCCCGCGGGCTCGGCGCGGACAGGCTCCTGTACCACTTCCTCCGGCTGCATTGCCACCCGGCATGCCTGGTGCTGGTGCTCAACACGCAGCCGGCCGAGGAGGTGCGGCCGCCCGCGCGGGGCTGAGGGGACCCCGCGAGCGCCGGGGCCTCCTGAGCGGATGCAGGCCCCGGCGCGGATGCGAGGCCTCTGAGGGCAATGTGGGTCCCTGACGCGGGTGGGAGGCCACTGAAGGCGGGTCCCTGGGCAGATGCAGGTGTCTGGCACGAGTGCAAGGACAGGGAGAGCGATGGCAGGGCTCTGAGAGCGGTGGGGGAGTCACTTGAGGATGGGGGCGGAGAGGAGGAGTGGCGGTCCCTGAAGGAGATAGGGGTGTCTGGGGGAGGATAGGAGTAATGAGGGAGTCCCAAAGATTGGCTATTTAAAGGGCTTGCTGGGGCCAAAGGAGTGGGCTTCCCCGAAGCGGTTGAGGATGGAGGAGTCCCTGAGAGTAATGGGGAGACGCAAAAGGAGATGCCGAGGTTGGGAAGGACCGTGCAGGGAAGAGGAGAGGCCGAGGGGTTCAGCGAGGCTGTGGGAGGAGGGGCGCAGACTCAAAAGGGAAGCTGAGGATACTGGGGAAGGTTACCTGCGCTTACGGAGGATGGAGGACACAAGGGGGATTGCACCTGCGCTGGGGGTGTTGACAGGTAACACAGCCCGGTCTGACCAGTTTGATGAGCCCCTAGATAGATAGAGCAGGAGGAACATGGCAGCTGAGAAGAGTCACCACAAACTCCTTGAGGGCGGACACCCTGTCCGCTTGGTCTCGGTATCTCCAGGGCTTGAGGTGGGGCTTAGCACAACCTGGGCCCCGGGAGAAGGTAGCATGGAACTGACGGTGTAGAGGGCCGAGGCCCCACTGACGTCATGAAATCCCCTCTCAGCTGCACGCAGACAGGGAACTAATAGTCCAAACAATGCCTGGGAAAAGGATCCCCTCGGTGTCTTGTCACACACTACAAACCTGGCTTTGGCGGGAAGCATTTGTCTAGGTGGCAGAAGTCTTCACCCAGGGTTTAAAAAACGTTTTTTGTTGTTAAAATGCTATGACGCCTCAAGTGCAAGGATTCTTTCGTGTAAACCCCAAAACAAAAAGAAGAAAACCTTAGTTAAATGTAGACTGGCTGGTCGATCAACATAAAGTAGTACACTTATTTTGTAGTTTTCATTAATTGATGAAGATATTCATCAACATCTTCATTATGAAGCTCATTATCTCAGAGAAAGGCAGCCCGTCATTGTAAATACACATACCTGCAACCTACTAAAAACCGCCTTGTATTCAACCGCCTGCTAATCAAGTTTGGTTTGATTTAGGAGTATTTTATCAACCAGCTGAAGCTGGAAGGTGTCGAGCACCTCCCTCGCCGCGTAACAAATGAAATCCCAAGCAACAGTCGCTACGAGGTTTACACACAAGGAGGTGTGATATTTGCAACAAGTCGGATACTTGTGGTTGATTTCTTGACTGACCGAATACCTTCAGATTTAATTACTGGTAAGAATTTGAAACCTTATGGATATAATTTTGCCCCTTTTGCTAAACTCTAAACTAGAACCTTCTTGTGGGTGGCACTGGATGTTTTTGCTCAAAACGGAGCTTCCAGCCATTAGTACAGTATGTGACCTGTTTTAGATACTCAATAAATATTTGTGGCCTGAATAAGTAAATAACTGTAAGATTGACTTTTCCTGGTTTTCTAAGCTCATATTCAGTAAATACGTGGTAATTGGGTGGCGTTTGCTTTTAGGACCTAATCAGGCTTGCAATGTTTATAAATACTGTTTATTTCCTAAACGATTTGGGTTTCCTCTTCAGAGAACATTTTAATCTCCATAATGTGAACTTAAACCAGGTAGTTGCTTAATTATTTGGAGAAGAATCGTTTAATGTTAGCTAGAAATTAATAGGAAAAAAATAATTATTTATTATTATTATTATTTGTCCTTTTGGAAACCTTTTCTGATTTCCCCAAAACTAATTAAGGAGCCATACCTCTATGCCCTCAGGTTACCCTGTGCTTCTCATAGCGCTCAGGTCACCATGTTATATTTGTCTATTTGTCTGTCTCACTCATAAAATAACAATCTTGTAAGCACAAGGAACAACTGTTCATCCCAAGTTAAGTAGCTGGGATTTGTTGGATGAATGAATGATACATCAGTATATGTGATCTGTGGCCAACTTCTGGAGGGAGAGAGAGAGGAAATTTATGATTGTCTTTCCACTGTGTCTATTATAGTATCCTGAGTCTGAGAGACCCTCAAGACATATTTAATGAATGAACATATGAATGAGTGCCTTATATGGTGCATGGTGAGCTGGTTGAGGAAATACTTTGTTATACTTTTGTAACATTTACAGTTGTTAAAAGCAGTGGCACAGACCATGCAGTGACAATCACCAGACTTTGAATGATAATGCCACTGCTTACAAGCAAGTTACTAAATTCTTTTCATGATTTTTTTTCATGAACCCCAGTTCTCTCATTTCTGAAACTGAGGAAATAATGCCTCCTTGAGTTATTGTAAGGATTAAGGGAGATAAAATAATTTGCTTAGCATAGTACCTGGTACATAGTAAACACTTCATAAATAATAGCAAAAAAAGTATTGGTTTTTTATAACCAGAAATCTTGATACATCATAAAGTGTTTTACTGTTTGCTACTTTCTTATACATTTAATTTTATTTTTCTTTATTTTTTAAGTTGATGAAATGGGGAAAAAATATGTATTGAAGCTACCACTAGATGTCAGCATTGCTTTTTCTGTAACAGCTCAACCTAAGTAGGCAGAGAGCAAGCAATCTGTATCAAAGAAATGTCCAAACCAGAGCTTATAGGTAGTTCCTAATTAAAAGTTACTTTCTGAATGAGTCAGTTTTCTCATCTGTAAATTGAAGACATTAATAGTACCTTCCTCCTAGGATTATTGGGAGTGAAATGAGATAAAGGTATGTAAAATTCTTAGCATCGTGCATGGCACGTAGTAAGCCTTTTGTGGTTACTATTTGTGATGATCCTGTCTTCGAGCAATTCTTTAGTGAAGAAGACAAATGTACAGAAGTAATCACAGTACAGTTTGAGATACGAGTTGTTATGGGAGCATCAAAATTGAAGTAGGCTTTTGTAGGACTAGATTTGCCCCCAGAAATATGGCCTGCTTCTGTTTTTAATTTTTAAAAAAAGGAGGGGAGGGCCTCAGATGATGTCACTTAGTAGGAAAAAACAGGCTTTGTTCTCACACACACTTGATTTGGAGCCTTTGGTCTCCCGTTACTTGTTGGATGACCTTGATCAAGTCATTCTCTTTCCTGGTCTCATAATAATACCTGCCCCACTGAATTCTTGTGAGGATTAAATGAAATAAAAATCTTTAAAACTACCTAACCCCAGGCCCTGGGATATAACATTAGTTCTCTTCTCCTTCCTCCTCCTGGGTTCCAAAAGAATGATAACTTTTGGAGCACAGCATTTTCTTAAATTGAGGTTCACCATTTTTTTTTGGAAGTTCATTTTTATTATTTGTAATTTTACGTAATATTTCAATGCAGACCAGCAAGCGTGGCCCAGTAGAGTACTGGGAAAAGCCTGCCTATAGTGGGTACAGAATCTTTTCTGAGTAGTAAATTAGTTATGTACATGTATTGGGGTGATTGAAAATCCTTTGTCCACAAATTCCTAAATCACACTGTTACTTTTTACTGTGTCTGGAAAACAGTTTGCTTAGTTAGAGTAAATGTTAGCTCCATCTACCATGATCCCCAATGTAAACACCAAAATAGTAGAATCTGAATTGAGTTTATTGAACTACTAGAAGAGGTCATAAATTACTATCAGTGTCATTTTCTGGCCCCCAGGAGCAATGAGAACTGGAGCAAAGACATGCAAGTTCATTTATAACAAATATATTGGGCTTTCAGAAAAGACATGATGTATTTTTTCTATGGTTTTCATTGCAAAAATGCATCATGACTTTTCCAACAACCCAATACATAAGGTATCATAGAATAATTGAGTTTTTAATCCAGAAATGACGTCTGTGCACTCTTATGTCATCTCATGTCTCGCCCTAATTTATCACTAATCACACTGAATAAAAACAGCATATATACAAAAGATCATTTGGTCCAGTATTCATTTTATAAATAAGGAAACATATATAATTGTCCTTGCTTTTGTGATTCAGAGGTGTCCTTATCACACCCACACCAAAAAATATACATATTAAACACGTTCATTAAAGGTTTTTATTTTCAGTGGACTAACTTACCTCCCAATTAAATATACTCTGATTCTAAAAATTGAATAAGTGATGGCAGATTTTGCCCAAACTTCTAAAATGCGGCAATTTTGTGTAGTCCACCTCTGATTCACATATAACAGGAGAATTAGTGACCCACCTAGCTTTCAGAAATTCTTCCTCACTGTACCAGACACGCCCCACCCCAGGGCCTTTGCTCCCATCATTCCCTCTGCCTTGAACTCTTAGCCCACATGGTCACAAGGCTCATCTACTCACCTCCATCCAGCCTGACTCACATGACCTCCGTGAGGCCATCCTATCTAAAATTGCAAACCACCTCCCCTCACACATACTCCCTATCTTTCTCTGATTCATTTTTTCTCCTTAGCACTTATCACCGTATAACCTACTAACTAGTTTCCCTATTTATATTGTTTATTGGAAGTGCCCTGCAGATAGGAACTTGGGTGTTTTCTTTAAGAGTGTAGCCCCCGTCCACAACAGTGCTTGCCCATCCTCAGGAGGCACTCAGGAAACGTATGATGATTCAGTGAATGAAAGTAAGCCTGCAAACTGCATGTCTGTTCTGCAATTGAAATTCTAATGTCCCCCTGTAGGCATCTTGGTGTATAGAGCTCACAGAATAATCGAGTCTTGTCAAGAAGCATTCATCTTGCGCCTCTTTCGCCAGAAAAACAAACGTGGTTTTATTAAAGCCTTCACAGACAACGCTGTTGCCTTTGATACTGGTTTTTGTCATGTGGAAAGAGTGATGAGAAATCTTTTCGTGAGGAAGCTCTACCTGTGGCCAAGGTAAATAGCCTCATGTTGATGAATTTCTGAGACAGGACCTGCTGTAATATAATTCTGCACTTTAACATAATGTAAAAATTTACTGTTGTTGGACTTGATACATGCCAGTCAGGTTCGTGACAGGTGCATCCGCATGTACATACTGTATGGTCACCACATTTGTGATTCATTTAAAAGGGGAGATTCAATAGTAATTTTTCTAGTAGCCCATTATATCCATCCAAATGCTGCCATTTTATCCTTTCCTGTTCACTTAGTGAAACCTCCAGGGAACTATCTAGAGATTCACATACACAACAGCTGTAGGTGAACTACAGATTTATTGGCTAAGACGCCCACTTCCACTTTGAAAAATTACCCATCAGGGAAATAAACCATGAAGATTTTTTTTTTTTTTAAGATTTTATTGGGGAATTGGGGGAAGGGAACAGCGCTGGGGAATTGGGGGAAGGGGAACAGACAAGTTGTTGTCCTTTTGTTCTTCAGTCTAGTTGTGGAGGACACGTTGCTTCACTGGCCCAAGTTGGCACCATCATTGCGCTCTTCCCGGGTGAGGCAGATCAGTCGCCGGCCTCTGGACGGCCGCTCACAGCAGCTGCTGGCCACTCATGCTGGTTGCCAGCTACACACGGTAGCCCATGGCAACCCACTGCAGCAGGGGACTGCAGCCTACGCCATCGCCGGCGACTCATGGCAGCCCAGCTCCAGATAGAGCTGCTGCTCACCATCTTAGCTGCAGAGGGCAGTGTCACTGACCCTCATATGTGGGATCCGAACCAGGGCCCTCTGGCGTCCCAAGCCAGTTCTTAACCAACGTGCCACTCGGCTGGCCCAACCATGAAGATTTTGAAGAATTTCTGTATATTTCCAGGAAAAGCGGGTTTCCATCTTCAAACATTTGCCACCTATGTTAATAGGTATTGTGGTTATACTGTGTGGTGTTTAAGAGTAGTTGTTGGGGTCTTTCTCATTTCTTGATGATACCTTATTTCAGGGATCAACTTTTCTGGGAAAGGGCCAGATTGTAAAGATTTAGGCTTTGCAGGCCACGTGGTCCGTCACAGCTACTCAGCTCTGCTGTCCTAGCATGAAAGCAGCTGTCGGCAGCACGTGAACAATGGGTGTACCTATGTTCCAGTGAGACTATAAAAGCAGGCCTTAGGTTTGGCCCAGACCATCGCTTATTGACTTGTGCTTATTTGAATAATTTCCATTCATTGAGGTTAAAAAGTATTCCTGAAAACTTTGTGTTGCTTTCCATTTTGTTTGTTTCTTCATTGCATTTACAAAAAAACTATTCAAACATTAAACCAAGACCAGAAATACATAGCTGTTGAAACTCTAGAAAAAACATTTGAAAAATATTTGTCTCTTTAGGTTCCATGTAGCAGTAAACTCGTTTTTAGAACAGCACAAACCTGAAGTTGTAGAAATTCATGTTTCTATGACACCTACCATGCTCGCCATACAGACTGCTATACTGGACATTTTAAATGCGTGTTTAAAGGAATTGAAATGCCATAACCCATCGCTCGAAGTAGAAGATTTATCTTTAGAAAATGCCATTGGAAAACCCTTTGACAAGGTACTCTATTTTCCTTTTTAAGCATAGTCTGTTATGTTATTACTTTAAAGAATGCAGGCTATTTTAATATTTACAGTGTTCTTAAGAGGAATTTGCTGTTATTTGTAATAAAATTGGAGGTGATTTAAAGTATAGCTCCTTTGGTTTACTGGAAAGTAATAATTTGTAGTAAAATACGTGGGTTGGCATGTAAGCACAACTCTGATTTTTGCAGCGATTGTCTCTTATTTTAAGTATAATTAAGAGGAGGATAAATAACCTTTTTGCTCTGAAATGACAACATTTGGATATCTACAGGTAGAAGAGTTTTACATAAGAATGCTTCAGAATTTATGATCTCTTGTTTGGAATAAAAATAATATGGATGAGTTTTCATTACTGAGGATTGTGAAACTTGTTCTGTCTTAAAATTACATTCTGAATTGAGAAAATGGTAAGACTCTAATTCAAGGAACTTTTCTAATTTTTTTCATCATAGATTAATATTAATACAGATACATAAATGTCTGAGATTGAATTGTAGATCCAGAAAAGGCTGACTTTTTAAGAGTTTCCAGAAGCTTTTTAAAAATATATTTTGGTAGATATATACCAAAACTGTCTTCAAAACTGTAAATCAGTCTCTTTGTCACCGGAAATAATGCAGAGTGATTATAAAAATGGAACAATTTAACTTCTCAGTTTTCTGATTCTTCTAAAAAGTCATTTTACTGTGAAACAATAACACATAAAACTAATTTCATGTGTTGTGTTCCTCATTCTTAAAATAAAGTTTATTATAATTTAGTGCATGGTGAAGCCAAAAAAGAAAAAAACCCCAAAAACTTCACATTCTCTTAATAGAATGTGTATGTCCCAAGGAAAATAAACCATAGTATGTTTTCCACTAAATCTCTGTTTATCATCCCCTGGCTAGTAAAAATCAAAGTTTTAAGTATTCTCTTAGTAACCAAATCTAAGTACAGATATAATTTGCATCTTGTTTGAAAATGTAATTTTTGTAGATGATTTTACAAAAGAGGCATGTAGTTAAACATCCCTGTTTGTCTAGGACAGTCCCGGTACCTGTTGTCCTGGAGTAATTATTAATAGTATCATTTCATTTTCCCAAGAGTCCCAGTGTAGATGATACAGGATATGCTCATCCAAGTATTACTCCTGCTCAGCATTACATTTGTTAGATAAGATGCCATATAGTGGACTGCTTCCATATCACGTTACAAGTATTATCCTTTTTAGTTTCAGAATCAGTATGTGAAATGTGAATATACATAGCTGTGGATTTGTAGATACCCACATGGTATGACATGAAGTGGTTCTGCATCTTAGGCAACTTTGTAGGATCTTAAAAAAGATTCAAATTTAGTCAATTTGTTAATTTAACGATTTAGTCAATGTAACAATTCAGTCAATTGTTAATGTAACAAATATTTTTCTACCCTTGAATCACTCTTTAAAAAAAAAAAACACTAAACAGATCTTTTACACCAACAAATTAAGTACATTGTTATTTAATTTGATGCCATTTAGTTTCCCTGGTTTATGCCCCTGTTTCATTGTCCAACTGGATCCCACAATTTTATCCATCCAGTGTAGGGTCACAGCCAGACTTGGCAGAAATTGAATGTGTCTTAGCTACGTGCTTTGACTCTTCCTAAAAACAAATATTTTTGAATCTGATGTTTAGCAGGCCTTTTCTCTTTTGACTAGTAATGTAAGTATGGATAATTATGAATTGACTCTATCTGATCATAAAGAATCTAATGATAAGACACTCTTCTTTATGTTTGAAAAATTAAACATTGTTATAAAACCTTAGAAATTGAAATTTTCTATCCACTTCCTTGGAAGATAATGTTTTGGATTTTATTATTATTATTATTATTGTGGTAAAATATACATAACATAAAATTTTCCATTTTAACGAGTTTTTAGGTATATAGGGGACAATGTTTGTTGAAAATGTAATCTGTATTAATAATAGCCATATTGAACATATTTTAGCAGTACTAAATTTTATTCTGGTTTTAGACAATCCGCCATTATCTGGATCCTCTGTGGCACCAGCTTGGAGCCAAGACTAAATCTTTGGTTCAGGATTTGAAGATATTGCGAACTTTGCTGCAGTATCTCTCTCAGTATGATTGTATCACATTTCTTAATCTTCTGGAATCTCTGAGAGCAACAGAGAAGGCTTTTGGCCAAAATTCAGGTGGGAGATAAAAATACTAATACTACCGTAGGAGCTGATTTGAATAAAGTTCTGGGTTTTATAGGGGATCAGTTGTGGGGAGTGCTAGACTCACCTACGTGGTGTGCTCAGATTTCAAACTCCATTTTATGTTCGCAGCACAAGGACGTAGATTTTATTGATAGCTAATGTTTCCGCCTGCTCAACTTCTGTATGATAATAAATATTCATAGCCATTTCTGGGCAATCTTATTTCTAGAAAAGGCTGACTATATTACAGGCAGTCCCCAACCTAGAAATGGGTTATCATCTAGAAGTTTAGTTGTTAAGAACTTCAAATTCATTTTCCCCAAAGAAACAACAAGGCGGCATTTCATCAGCTAGGGTGCTGAAAATCAAAGAGAAGAGGTTTATAGGGAAACATATACGTGTAACTGGCCGCTGTCTTGCTTTCCTGCAAGTCACGTCCTCCCCACACTGTTGTGCCTGCAAAACCAGCCACTTTTCAAAGTGTGGTGCTTGGGCCCCTGAGGCCAAGATTTGATGACTGATAATTTTTGCTGTTTTAGCAGGGACATTCTTGAGTAATAAACTGCAAATGCTTAGAAATGAAGGATACACTGACTGCTAGTCCGCTCTGGTTTCACTGCCTTGGTTGTGCTCAGCCAACAGTGGCATGACCCCCAGTGCTTTGGCACCAGCATAGGAAATGGCAACACAGTGGACAAAAGTCAAATAATGAGTTAGTGTTATTATGAGAATAGTTTCAAGGTCACAGACCCCCTGAAAATATCTTGGGACCTCCAGGAGTCTGTAGCCCAGTCTTTGAAAACCACTGGTCCAGCCCAGCAGTAACAGAGGCCACACTAAGGGTGAAGGTGCGGTTTGGAGGAGAAAAAGATGGCAGCCAGGCATATATATATATATATATGTATGTATATATATATAGGTCATGTGACCATCAGAGGTTTCTGTTTGTTTTTTTTTTCACTTTTCCTATTAGGTTGGCTGTTTCTTGACTCCAGCACCTCGATGTTTGTAAATGCTCGAGCAAGGGTTTATCGTGTTCCAGATGCCAAAATGAGTAAAAAAGGCAAAATATCAGAAAAGGTGGAGATTAAAGAAGAGCAAGGTATCTTGTAGGCTTAAGTCTTTAAACGTGTCTTTTATTTAAGTATTTGGTGTGGAATTGCTTATTAAGTGACACTGTCATTTTAAACCATTTTTGAAAAATGTGTGTCCATATGTTAAATGTAGGTTATGTGTGACATATGTAATGTATGTTAAAAATATTCACCATGTCAAGTGTTAAAATTCGTTACCAAAGGAGTCCAAATAACAAGTGCCAAGTGTCGATCAAGAGATTCCTACTGCTACATAAAAACTATAGATTTTGTAACTTCAGAGTAATTACTATTTTGGGCACTTAAAGTCTTAGGGGAACATTTTAACATCCCTTTAGCTTTTAGAGGACATAAATATACTAGAATGAGACAAATGTAGATTTTATTCCAACACTCATCTACTAGGTATAATAAATACCATTGCTTTTCAATTTATTGTAGTAACATTGGTTAATGACATTATATAAGTGTCAAGTGTACAATTCTATAATACATCATCTGTATATTGCATTGAGTGCTTACCAACCGAAGTCTACTTTCTCTCCATCACCATATATTTGACCTCCCTTACCCTCGTCCTCCTCTCCCCGTCCTCCTCCCCTCTGGTAACCACTCTACTGTGTCTCTGAGTTTGTTTGTTCATTTGTTGCTGTTTTATATCCCACATATGCGTGAAATCACATGGTTCTTGTCCTTTTCCATCTGACTTATTTCACTTAGCATGGTACCCTCAAGCTACATCAAACTAAAAAGCTTCCACACAGTAAAATAAACCATCAGCAAAACAAAAAGGCAACCAACCGAATGGGAGATGTTTGCAAACGATACCTCTGACAAGGGGCTAATATCCAAAATGTCTACAAAACTCATACAACTTAACAACAAAAATATCATTGGTTTTTATTAAAGCATGGGATGGGCTTAATGCTTACTTTCTTTCTAGTTCAAAGGTCTACTCCAAAACTTAATTAGACATATTAGTGATGTGAAATAAAAGTTTGATTGTTGTCTATCTCTATTCCATGTTCAGGATTGTGAAAATCATGGGAATTTTAGAAATAATAAATACTGTTGTTTTCTACTGATTCCTTTACGTTGTATAGCAGGTCATATATAGCATCACAGTTGAAAACTAACACAAAATCATCTCTTAACTAGTGACTGTGTTTATCACTTTCTATCGAAGCATTATGAAATCTGTATTCATGTTGGTTTGTAGTGTCTTTCACTTAGAGCATAAGGAGACATTTTCCAAGGAAGCAAATTCTATCTGGCATTATGAAGGAAGCTCAAAGGAAAGGGCTTATGGAACGGTGCTTGTGTTGTCTGTTGTTTTAAAAGCTTTTGCAGTACTTTATGGAGAAAGAGTATCACATACAATGAGATTATATTTTATTTCTTTACAGAAACAAGAAAGGAACTGGTCCTAGAAAGCAACCCAAAGTGGGAAGCGCTGACCGAAGTACTGAAAGAAATCGAGGCAGAAAATACAGAGAGTGAAGCCCTCGGTGGTCCAGGTAAGAAAAAGGGAGATGATGACGTTGGCTTTTTAAATTAAGCAAATGAGTCTTTTCGAGTAGCTCTTTAAAAATAACTTGCTGTTTTGTTTCTAAAATGTAGAATAAATGCCACATGAACACTGAAATCCTAGTGGGAACCCCCGTTCTGTTCACTTGCTGTGATTTTCTCCACGTTGTATCACTGTATATTCATGAAAGCAGGTGTTTTTTGTTTTTTTTTTACTGGTTGAGTTCTCAGGACTTCTATTTGAAGATTTAGCTCATCTCCACATATGTATTCACCAGGCTTGGAATCTGGAACCCCCAGGAGAAGCTAAGGGGTCTTATGTTTTATATTCTCAGCAAGAATCTTTCCAAAGAAGCCTGAACTATCCTATGGAATGACATTGACCTAGCCCGAAAATAGTTCCAAATCTTAGGACTATTCTATTTAAATATGAGTATACTAATAAATGAGCCCAGTAGACTAAACCTGAGCTAAATTTAAAAAATAAAACCAGTAAAAAAAGAAGAAAGAAAAGAAAATAGATTGTTGAAATATCTAGTCTTTGAACTACTGCTAATGAATAGAGGCAAGCACGTGATCCTTACATTAGTAAATATGCTGGTGATACTATCCCAGAACTTAACGCTGCTGTGATTTAAGACCCAACGTCATACATGCTCACCTAGAAAAAGTAAAAAAATATGAAGAAAAAAGAGAAGGGAAAAAAATGATGTCTAGTAGCCACTTTTAACATTGGCCCATTTCCTTCCTTTTTTCCTTTCATGTTTTTTCTATTTCACATTGTTAAAAGTCATAGGTAGATATCCTTTCTGGATATAGAATTAATGAGTCAAATGATACTAACATTCTTAAAGTTTTCAAGACATTTTACCACATTGATTTACAGCAAGTTTTTATTGACTTTCATTTCTTCTGGCAGTGTAAGAGCTTGCCTCTTTGTCACTTAGGTAACAATGACTAGAAAGTCTATTTGTGTGTGTGTACCAATGTACATAACAATTGTATTAAATTGATGGGAGAAAAATGTTAGTTTGTTGTAGATTTTGATATTTGGTGAGCTCAATATTTTCTCGACTGCATTTCCTCTTTTGAAAACTTAGTTTCCTTTGCCAATTTAGGCTATGTCCTCAGTTTGTATTGGCTTTTTATATATTAAAAATATTAACATTTATCAGAGCTGTTGCATGAAGTTGTTTTTTTTCTTTAGCTTTTTTATGCATAGTTTTTAGTCTTAGAAAATCAATCTTAGCTTATAGATATTAGTCTTCTCAGAGATTTCTTCCATTGCTTTTAAGCCTAGAAAATCATCTCTAGCAGGAGAGATGAAGAATAATCACCTTTTTAAAAAAATTTAATATTTAACATTTGACTCTGTGATCCATATGGAATTTATTTTGATGTATAAGATCCTCTTAGGGCCGGCCGAGTGGCTCAGCTGGTTAAGAGCTTGCTTAAGAGTGCGAGCTCTGAGAAACAGCAGTTCAATTCCCAGCCAGAGCTGAGCTGCCAAAAAAAAAAAAAAAAGATCCTCTGGAAAATTGTTAATTAAAAAAAGTTTCCTTAAAGCCTCCATTATACCGTGGTTCTACTTTCATAAGACTCTACATTTAATTTTTGACTTTAGCTTTACTCAAGATTCAAGTAATCCTTCCAGAGCAGCGAAAGCATTTGATAAGCATCTGAGACCCTTTCTAAACAAATTGTAGATGTATCTTTAGCACCAAGGGGTAAGACTTGTCTTCCTTGTCGGGGAAGGGACAAGGGTCCTGTGCGTAATAGGAGGAGATGTGAGGTAAGAGTAACATAACATCATTTTCTAATTTTAGGTCAAGTGCTTATTTGTGCAAGCGATGACCGAACGTGTTCCCAGCTGAGAGAGTACATCACTGTGGGAGCAGAGGCCTTCCTGCTGAGACTCTACAGGAAAACCTTCCAGAAGGACAGCAAAGCCGAGGAAATGTGGGTGAAACTCAGAACAGAGGACAGCGCAAAGAGAATTACAAAATCGAGCAAAAGACCCAAAGACCCCCAAAACAAAGGAAGGGCATCTGCCAAAGAAAGGACTGTCAAAAAGAAAAAACGAAGGTTAACCTTAAGTCAGATGATGGGGCACCCTGAAGAACTGGCCGAGGAAGGGGACGGCAAGGAAAGATGTCCTAGAGACATAAGCAACAGCCCAGAAAGCTGCTTAGAGGAAATTAAGCACGAAGAGTTTGACTTAAACTTGTCATCTGATGCCGCTTATGGAATCCTGAAAGACCCCCTCACTATCATCCACCCGCTTCTGGGCTGTAGTGACCCCTACGCCCTGACAAGGGTACTGCATGAGCTGGAGCCACGATACGTGGTTCTGTATGACGCAGAGCTGACGTTTGTCCGTCAGCTTGAAATCTACAGGGCAAGTCGGCCCGGGAAACCTCTGAGGCAAGTTCTGAAGGCTATAAACCGCATCTTAAAGGCTTCCATTTCAGTGCGTTAGGATTTAACACAGAAACTATACCAGTTGCATGTGGGTTTTCTTATCTTGAACATTCCGTTGTTATGACATTTGTTAAGCTTATGAAATTTTATTTTGCTTTCTGACGGATCTGGGAAGTTTCCATAGGAAGGGTGTCCAGTGTAGCATAACGACGAATTGGGGGGACCACTCGTGCCCTCCTTACTTGCTGCTCTACTCCTATGTACCATAATCTTGATGCATTGGTTCGTAGCTTAATGGGGTGCTGTATTTGAAGACGTCTAGGAAATATAATATCCTAACTAATCCCCAGAATTAATATAATTATGACTCAGCTAAGTAATTTCAGTCCTCTAAAATGTCTTTCTCATAAATTTTAAGAATTGACCCTACATTACATTCACATAAAACTAAAATATTAGGGGAATTATTGTACTAAGTTTTCTTCAGCTTCAAGAGCTATCAAATGAAAAATCTACAGAAATATCAGACGAGAAAATGATGCCTCCCAGAGAATATAATGTTCTGGCTCTCCAGTTATCTGAGGGGAATAAACAGCAAAATTAACATCCTGAACTCAGCCTGAACCAAAAACAGAGCCAAAAGACGTTTTCCTTGCACTTGAATGCATCCTTTCTTAGGAGAGGTGAATGGAGGGAGTGGGTCAGGAATAATGCAGGATGAGATTAGACAAAGCTGGTGAGATAATTATAGGCTGGTAAATTCTTCATACTTTGCTATTGATTAACTTTATAGATTGCTCGTGTGTTGTTTGTTGCCTGCACATAGAACAGTGTGATGTTTGCAAATCAAATGTCAGAATCCGAAGGGAACTGGGACTTCCACCGCTCACTCTGTCGCTGGGAAACTGAGGCCCAGAAATGGTGAATGATTTGCCCTTGGCCATATGGCCCATTTGTGGGAAAGCTAAGGTCTCTGGATTCATTGTCCAATGGTCTCTCTTCCCTGTTCACACTTTAAAGAAATATAATCTAGGGGCTGGCTGAGTGGCTCAGTTGGTTAAGAGCTCGCTCAAGAGTGCGAGCTCTGAGCAACAGGGTCACTGGTTCGATTCCCCGGCCCGAGCCAAGCTGCCACTGAGCTGTTGGCAGGATGGCTCAGCTAAAAAAAGAAATATAATCTAGGAAGATGAAATCTAAAAGAAAAATCGAGGGCTAAAAGGAAAATATCTCTGATAGAGGTGAAGAAAAGAGACAGTTAGGTACTTAATTCATCTTCTAGCAATAAACAAGACAGAAAACCAGGCCTTTTCTAAGAGAAAAGCATACCTCACATTATTTTTTTGGGAGGGGTAGGGGGCTTGATATAATCCATATGTCTTCAGTGTCTGTGTGTTTATAGAAAATGTGTGATGATTTGGTTCTGTTAAGATGAATAAAAAAGAACTGACAAAGTATTTGTGAAGATAAAGGTCATATAGATTTCATTTGTTTATTTTTTATGAACGTGAACTTTCATAAGCTGGTTTTTATGACTACCATCCAACTTTTTAAATGCTTGTTTGGCAGAGATGCAAAGAAAAATTGAAAGAAAAAGAAGCCACTAAGATTTTGTGTTTTCTATTTTGTTTATAGTCATGAGGAAAGAATTATTCTCTCCCTCTAGTTATATTTCAATGTTTACCTAAACTCTGTTCCTCCTTTTGGCGAAAGAAAGAAAAAAAAAAAAGCCCTTGTGGTAATGAGACCTTTAACAGGTGGGGCTTGGGCAGCTTAATTTCAGTAAGTGTGTGATTAATGGAACCTTTTATCCGTAGTCAAATATTTATTATTTGAGCACTCCAGGTTGCTGATTTCAAATGCTGTGCTCTTCCTTTCAGGGATTAAAAGTTATGTTTTTGCAGCCTAAAAGAATTCTGCCTTAACTTGCAGGGTTTACTTTCTTATATACGGAGGATCAACTGAAGAACAACGCTATCTCACTGCTTTGCGGAAAGAAAAGGAAGCTTTTGAAAAACTCATCAGGTAACACATAGATCAGTGTGAAAGCACAAACTTCACTGAAGGCCTTTCAAGATCTAGGGGCTTCTCTGGGGGTGGGGGCTGGGGTGTCTAATAGCGCTCGGGAAAGATGGAGAGGGAAGAAGTTGGGGAGGATCATGTCAGCATAAACCAAGACGTTCATCAGCACCTATTTCCTTTTTCTCTACCGCTCTTTTCTCCACTTGCTTTCCAGTAAGTTAGTAGAATATTAGAAATGTGAGGAGAACTGCTTTTCTGTTTATAAAGAGATACCGTAGAAGATAAAACACCAGAAATATAACTAAAACACTACTTTTCTAAGAACTATGTTCTTACATATCTCTCTCCCCCTGCCCCATGCCCAAGTTTTCTCCCATCCCTTTGAATTATGATTTTTTTTCTCCTTGTACGATTTCCATTGTCTGTGGGTGTGTGACTGCTTAACCTTTTACTGGGAAATACTTTCACAACCCTGTCAGTTCAGATCAATAGACTCGCTCTGGGAAACTGTTTTTGAAAAGGTGTGACATTTATCTGAACACACGTGTCCGTTTTTGAGAATGAGTGTCCTTTAATGTTCCAAATCCAAATAGAAAAGGCTTTTCAGTTTAACATAAGGAAAATGTTTCCGAGTGAGATATTCACAAGCTGGATGGCTACCTCTTACTTCTGCGAGTGTTTAAGAAATCTCATAACCTCCCACCAGGCATGCTGTCAAGGAGATTGTAGCTTGGTGAGAGAGGATGGGACAGATGCTCTGTAAGGGGCCTTAGAGGCCAGGGCAGGGGCTGGATGGGGCATCCTTGAGCTGGACCAGAGGAGACCATGGCGTGGGCTGAGTGTGATTAGGCCGTCTTCATCTTCCAGACCTCTGACATTGGCAGTATATCAATGGCAATGAGAAGGCAGAAATCATTTTTAGTGTCAGTTTACCTGCCAGGGCCCTAGACAGAATTTCAAAATGGAGAACCATCCTTCAACACTGGCTGTGGGCTCTCAGTATATGCATGAAATAAACCCGTACCCTCCTTTGTCCAGGGCATGCAATTCTGGAAATGAATGTTCACTGAATCAGTGTCATTGAGTCCCTGTGGAGGGGCTCAGCACAGTACGTGGGCAGACCCTTTTCCTTCCCTTCAAATCCTCTGTGACTGTGACAGGCCTTGGCCATGGATTCTCCCAGCTACCATGCAATTATTATTAATCAGTCCTTTCAGCCTATGAAAATATATTTTCTATTAACATGTTCTGTGGAGCGGTTTATATGGTATGTGTGTGTATACATGTTTTTTGAAAAAGTATTTCAGAAAGTGTGATAACAGACCAGGTATTACACAGACTACCTGTTTTTGTCCAAAGCTTTCAGTGGCTCTGTGTCCTCGAGACCTTCACGCTCCCCAGACTCAGTCAACAGATATTTATTGAGCATCTGTTATGTGCCAAGCCCTGTGCTGATATCAGAGTGCTGTAGTTACAGTGGCACAGGAAATGTCTTTGCTTTCCTAGAGTTTATCCTGTAGTGGAAAAGAAAAGCCTTAAATGACTAGGAAGATTATAATAAATTGACTTTTGCAGAGTGCTGCTGGCTGCAAAGGTAAAAATGGCTGTAATAAGAGGGGGTATCAAAGAGACCTAACCCAGTGTGGGGCTCAGGAACAGCTGCCCTAAAAAAGGGATATTTAAGCTGACCCATGAAGAATGTGTGCTGGTTGCTAGGTAGATGAGCTAGGCAGAGGGGTTGTGTTGAACATGGGTGTGTATGAAGGGTCAGGTACAGAAGGCCTGCTTAGGATTTAGGACTTCAAACAAACAGAACAGAAACAAACATAAATACAGAGAATAAACCGATGGTGGCCAGGTGGGAGAGGAGGGGGGTGCAGTGCTGGGTGAAAAAGGTGAAGGGATTGAGAAGTACAAATTGGTAGTTACAAAATAGTTGTGGGGGTGTAAAGTACAGCACAGAGAACCTAGTCAATAATATTGTAATAACTACGTACGGTGTCAGGGTGCACTAGACTAGTCAGGAGGATCACTTTGTAAGTTATATAAATGTCTAACCACTATGTTGTACACCCGAAACTAATATGATATTGTATGTCAACTATAATTGAAAACTTTAAAAAATTGTTTTTAAAACTATCTAGGACTTGTCTCTAAAGGCAACATGACAGCATTGAAGAGTTCTAAGCAGGAAAGTGACATAAGTATATTTTTAAAGGCTCTTTTCTGGCATCAAATGAGGAATGGATGGAGCAGGAAAACTAATAAGGAGGTTATTGCAATTGTCTGATAAGAAAAGGTGGTAGCCAAGATCCGGTTGATGGAGAGAAGGGAACAGGTTTAAGAGGTATTTAAGAGATGGAATCAAAGAATTAATGATAACTGGATGTGGACCAGTACCTCCTAACCATTCCTTCACCCTTTTAAAAACATCCTTAGCCTAACGACGATTAAAGTCATTGTCACCAAGTTACAAATGAGCACATGAAGCTAAAGTGTTCAGATTAGGTTATTGGTGTCATGTGGAGGGTCGCCAAAACCACCTAAGGCTCGAAGATTCTTAGGACCCCTGGGAATCAGAAAAATGGGTATAGTCACAGTAATGGTTGATGACAGCAACAGAATACAGATTGAAATCAGCCAAGGGACAGAACACATGGGGGAAAGTCCAGGAAAAGCCAGGCATGAGCTTCGGGGTGTCCTCCCAGGGGAGTCCCACAGATGTGCTCAATCCTCCCAGCAGCAGTGTGTGACAGGGAAGCTCCCCTGAGCCTGCGGGTGCAGTGTTTTTATTGGGGGTCGGTCATGGAGACACAGAGTACCCGTGTGACAGACTCCACCCCCCTTCCCCTCTCCTGAAGCAAAAACAGGTATTCACCATAAATCACAGTTAGCATAAAGCATCCGAGGCCCCAGGCCTCAGGCGCACAAAACACCTCTTATCAGGCAGAATATTGCAGAGGCTCAGAGCAGATCTCCCAGAAGCTGGCCAAGGGTCAGTCCTGAGGAGACAGGCCTTTCCTGGGAATGGGCAGGCTTTGAGCCTCCCAGGCCTGCTGAGCTAACCCTTTCCTCACAGCGTTGTGGCCTGAGGCTCCAGTCAAATGTTGGGGGGTGGGAGGAAGGCACCTGAAAAGGTGAGTCTCTATGCTGCAGGCCTCCTTCACAAGGGAGCCCAACCTCAAAAAGAGTACTTTTAGTAGATTGTAGCAAGATGTTGGGGACCCTGTGTCATCCCTGGTTTATACAAGTGAATCTACACATCGGAGGGCTCAGTGACAAGGTATGGATTCGCCTGGTATGTTCTCAGAAAGCTCACTCAACAGAACCTTGCCATATGGACTGTCTCCAACATTTCAGTCTGTACAATAATTTCCGTACCAGGTTTTAATGTAATTTTTCCAGGATCAGGCATAATTTTCTAAACTCTCTCAATGGTGATTGCCTACTTACTGTAAGTCAGATCTTTCCCATGTTACACAGCAATCAGATAGTTGCACTATTTAGAATCTTGAGATATTTACTTTCCCAGAAAACCTGGGGAATTTGAGAAGTGTTTGTTTTGAAAAGCAAGATCTACGTGAGGCGCATTGCTGAAAGGGGATTTGCACTGAGCCTGCACTTGGAGAACAATTTAATGCGAGAGTAAGATAAGGTGCTTTCGCCAGGACCTCCATGGGCGATGTGGTAAGAACAAAAGCAGTGCGACTATTTGCAATAGCCAGAGAAGAAAGAGTCCAGTGGGCTGGCAGTGAAAAACATCAGTAGACTACAGATGACAAGTAAAGAGAAAAAAAGATCACACTTCTAAGTATTGGTAATAAAATGCTCCCTTGGTGGAAAAATTAGCAACAACAGTCTGCATATATAATACATAGTCTTGGAGAGGCCACTGCTTTTCAAAGGAAGGGGTAAGATCATTTAAAATGTTAGTTAGAAAATATGATCACAGAATGGGTTAGCATGAGGACTTGAATAAATGCCCATTTGAAGACTTGAATTTCAGCACCTCCTCCCTATATTGTCATGTACAAGCCATTCAGATATCATCGAAGATGTTAAAGCAAAAATAAGAAACCTCAGTACTTTAAGGGGAACTAGGAATTTGAATTTTTAAATTATCTGTGTCTATCACATAGAGTAACTTGAATAATTATGCTAAATGTTGAAAGCAAGGGACTGAATATTTATAATTACGGCAAATTTCTGTTAAAATCATTTGCGTTACTGGCTAGGAAGACAATATTTTCTTCACAACCGTGGTTTCACTTCGAGTATATTTTTTTCTCAGATTCAATTTGCAATTATAAGATTTTATGATAAACTGTTTTATTTAACAATATTAATTGAAACAGTTGTGGAATCATTGGAAAGTAAATCTTCATTTTTTTTTTTTCAGCATAATCAGGGATAATTAGGAGATGACGTTATCACATTACAGGAAAAGTACACTTATAACAACTAACATTTATTCCATGCCAGGAGCTTTTCTGAGTGCCTCACATAGATTATGTAACCCTTTCCTTTCTTGTATTAACTCTAGTTTCTCTTCAAAATTGAGAATGGTTAATGGGGCCTCCCACCAGGAGTTTTCAAATCAAGGTTCTATCATATATGTTTTCATTTTCTTAATCATTGATTTTTTTAACCATCCTTATTTATGATTACTCTGAAAATACCGAAATATGAATGATTTACATTATTTTTAATGCTCAATGACACGTTGGCATGTTTTTCTAAAAAGTCTCAATAATCTCTCTCTGGAATGTTTGTACATGCTGGTTCATGTCTGAAAGTGTTGGAAAGACACAGAATAGAAAATAAACAGCTTATTTGACTGGAAGATCAGAAGTAGTACCCAACCAAGAAATTCTCTCTTCTTCCTTTATCCATCACTTGTGCATATTTACTTCTAATGCATTTCTTGTCTTCTCTTTTTAGCATTATAGCCTTGTAGATTGTTTATTATAATTTACAAAAGATTAAAATCTGGAACTTTGAAATGAGTTCAAAAAAAATCTTTAAAATGCTTTTCTCTCCCCAGGGAAAAGGCTAGCATGGTTGTCCCTGAAGAAAGAGAAGGCAGGAATGAAACAAACCTCGACCTGGTAAGAGGCTCCGTGTCCACAAGTGCTCCTGCTGACACTCGTAAAGCAGGTGAGTCCGTCCTGCCCTTTGCCTGTAGAGGAGGCTGTGAGGTTCCAGAGTTTCAACAGAGTCTTGGTTTTTATCGCCAAACTTCAGAATGGATGTCTGCTCTCATCCCCTATTAACCGCGTGGCCTTCCTGAATCAGAGGCTTCTCATCTGTAACGGAAGTGGGGCTGTGTTCTGTGCACCCCAGCTTGAAAATTAGCTATGTCCCAGCATTGCTGTAAATGTGGTTAGTTAAGACTGAGAATGTACTTTTACAAAGAAATTTTTGTAAGTGGTGATTAGGTTCTTATCTTAACTAGAAAAAGACCATCTAACTCACAGGTAAATCGATAGGAGTTGTTGGGGCACATTCCCACTTCTCATTCTGGATTTGTTTCTTGCTTCTTGGCGCTTCTCTAGATCACAGGTGTGTGGTACTCTCATTGCTCTGCAGTGTCCAAACTGTGGCATGCCACCAAGACCTGCTGAATTCCAAGTGCACTGTGAACCAGGAATAACCATTGCCCACTGCCCATGTCCCTATTTCCCCATCGCAGCAGCTGACATCCGCCAAGTGGCATGAGAACAGCAATATGATTGAGTTGACTTAACCTTTGGTGGGGCCAAGCACCTTAGAGCAGTGGGTCTCAGAACTTGGGATACTTAAGAATAACCTCAGATGTTTGGGAAAACTATATTCACAGGCATCCGTCCATAGACATTCTGACTCAGTGGGTCTGAAATGGGATGAGCAGCTCTGGGGATTCTGATGGAAATGGTCCTTGGGTCATCCTTTGGGAAACACTGCCTCAGAGCATCTAGGTCTTTCTGAAGAAGATTCTTACGAACTCACATAGTTTGGTGACAGTTCATGCAGAACTTCAGAATATAAAACAATTTGAAGGATTAGATTTGAGGATGTAGGTGCCACACAGAAAGCTATTCACAGAAGTCCGTCCTTTTGAGTTTAGTTCTCTAAACCCTGTTAGCTTCCTATTGCTACTGTAACCAATTACCACAAACTTGTGGCTGGAAACAACACACATTCACTATCTTACAATTCCAAAGTCCAAATGGGCTTCACCAGGCTAAAATGAAGGTGTCGGCAGGGCTGCATTCTTTCTGGAGGCTCCAGGGGGTACCCCTGTCCTTTCCAGGTTCTAGAGTCCTCCTCCCCCATCAAAGCCAGCAGCTCCAACTCTGGCCTTCCTGTTCCCTCTTTCACATAGGAGGACCCGTGGGCCTGCCTGGATAGTCCAGAATAAGCTCCCAGTCTTGAGATCTATAATTTAATCACGTTTGGAAAGTCCCTTTTGCCATGTCAAGTCACATACTTACAGGCTCCAGGGGTTGGAACATGGACACGTTTGGGGGCCATTATTTTATCAACAACAACCACAGCCCTTGTGGAGTCCTTAAGCCAGCTCATTAGCATCACCTGGAGCGTGATAGAACTGCAGAGCCTTAGACCCTATCCCAGACCAAATACAGAATTTGTTCTTTACCGTATGATCTCACTCATATGTGGGGTTTAAAACAGAAAGCAGCAAACAAACTCATAGACAGACAATAGAATGGTGGTCACCAGAGGAGAAACAGGGTGGGGAGAGGAGAAAGGGGGTACAGGGGGTCAAATATATGGTGATGGAAGGAGACTAGACTTTGGGTGGTGGGCACATGATGCAAAGTATTATAGAAATATAGCTGTATTTGCAGATGATGTATTATAGAACTGTACACCTGAAACTTAGGTGATGTTATTAACCAATGTCACGCCAATAAATTTAATTTTTTTTTTAGAAAAAAAGAGTTAAGTCTGGGTGGTAGGAATACAAAAAAAAATTTTGCTCTGTAACATGATCACAGCCTGGCACATTATAGAGTGAGAGAATCTCTGTTCTACGGTGTTCTTGTTTTTCTCAGCTTCTTCCATTTTCCCATCTCTGGAGTCATTGATGCAAGCACCCAAAACTCCGCAATCGTTTGCAACAGCTCATACGGCAGTGTATTCAGCGAGCATGGTTAGGCATGCACTGTGTGCCAGACTGTGTCCTAGGAACTGGGATACGGTGATGAGTAAATTGTGGTCAGTGCAATGCTAAGGGACTATCGGGGGGACTACAGAAGGAAGACCATAGCAGATGCTGGTGTTTACAAATCAGTGTAAGTCAGGAACCGCCCATAGATCCTAACTTTCCTGTTAGTTCCATTTAGTATAATTGAAATTGTCTTTATTGAACTCTGTGTGTAAACCTTTTTGAAAATATAGAAAAATGTGGACTAATAACACCTTAGGTATTATGTAAGCACGCATCAGACGCTAACAACAGAAACAAAGATTTTAAACTGTGTCCCACTACATCTTGGGGAGCTCTTCCTCAATGACTTTACTCAAAATGCTACTTTTCCTTCACTAGGTGGCCAGGAACAGAAAAGTACCCAGCAGACTATCGTTGTGGATATGCGCGAGTTCCGAAGCGAGCTCCCATCTCTGATCCACCGTCGGGGTATTGACATCGAACCAGTGACTTTAGAGGTTGGGGACTACATTCTGACTCCAGAAATGTGCGTGGAACGCAAGAGCATCAGCGACCTGATCGGCTCTTTACACAATGGCCGCCTCTACAGCCAGTGCATCTCCATGTCCCGCTACTACAAACGCCCCATGCTTCTGATCGAGTTTGACCCCAGCAAGCCTTTCTCCCTCACTGCCCGAGGCGCCTTCCATCAAGAGATCTCCAGCAACGACGTCAGCTCCAAACTCACGCTCCTCACCCTCCACTTCCCGCGGCTGCGGATTCTCTGGTGCCCGTCCCCTCACGCCACCGCCGAGCTGTTCGAGGAGCTGAAACAAAATAAGCCACAGCCAGATGCGGCGACAGCCATGGCCGTCACGGCGGATTCTGATATCCTCCCCGAGTCAGAAAAGTACAACCCTGGCCCGCAAGACTTCTTGCTAAAAATGCCAGGGGTCAATGCCAAAAACTGCCGCTCCTTGATGAGCCACGTTAAGAACATTGCAGAGTTAGCAAGCCTGTCGCGAGATAAGCTCACGAGCATTTTGGGGAACGCTGCAAACGCCAGGGAGCTCTATGACTTCCTTCACACCTCGTATGCCGAGATTCTGTCCAAAGGAAAAGGGAAGACATGAACAGTGGTGGCTGGTTTCTTAGCCCATGACTGTGCTTGCCCCATGACTGCCCTTTGTTGGCCGCCATTGGTCGTTATTAATTATCAGCTCAGTAGTTCATGCCCTTCCAAGGTTTTTAATGATTGTGCCGTCTATTTCCTAGGTCAGTGGACCAGAAGCCAGGATTCACCCCTGAACTTTGCACTTAGGCCTCCTTTTAACTCTCCCATGCCAGCTCTCCTCCCTGCGCTGTGCACGCCAGGGGTCACGTTTTCAGTTTTTAAATGAGGTGTGTCAGGATCAGGTAAGGTTTCTACAAGTGTTTCTAGAAGGCCACTTTGGAGACAAGTCGACCTTTACATTTCTTACACAAACTATGAAGCACACAACCATGTTGTCACCCTCTGTCTGTAGAGGGGCCCCTGGAACACTGACAAGGAGCATCTCTCTGGCGACTCCCACCAGTTTGTCTCCACTACTTCTTCCGCCGCTGCGTTCTTCCACCTGTCTGCCTCTAAGAAAAATTCATGGGGACTTTCCCCTATTAATTTAAGACAGCCACCTCTAAAACTGGCTGATTAATTTTCTAGTCACATGAGTAGATGTAGATGTACCACTCAGTTGTTGAAAAACCAGTATTTTTAAAACATGAAATGAATTACCTGTTTGCAGAATTTGATGGTGTAGGTGAGGAGCCCTTAAAATTCTCCATTTTTATAGATATTTAACCACCTAATCCCAGAGATCTCGATAAGCCCAAATAGCTAGCTACAGAGTCTCTTAAGACTTCTCTTTTCTCAGCCTCTCTTCACATATCCCAAGACCACCAGCACTATATTCTCTAGAAATGCAAGGTAAACTCATCCTCTCTCTGATTCTTCTTCACTTCTCGTGTTCCTGTGCCTGAATACCTCCCTGCATCTCTGTGTGAGGACAAGCAAATGACTGACCCGCAATATAATATCTGGTTGGCCTTCCTTGAGATGAGATACAAGGACTGTAAGTAAATGGAAAGGCAATGCATGGATTATATAAAAATTCTAAAGAAATATATGTATTTAAAAATTCATAAGGAAAACTATCTGATTCTAAACCGCCTCCTTCTGATTTAGTTTAGCTTTTTACTGAGGTATACATACAGGGCATTCATAGCATCCTTGTGCGGTTTTTAAACTTCTATATTTAAACATTATTAACTTAGGTATTAGTCCCATAGTTAGTAACGAGTAGTAAATTTTCTACCTCAAGAGCTGATACAGGCATCAGTTCTGCCAGCCATACCACACAGTTGAATGTTTTGTCAATGTCAGCCATGTTTTTGTTTGTCACACTGTTCAAACTCAGAGGACACAGTAGACCACGTAACACAAAATAGTCTTTAACTTGAACAAAAGGACTTTTAACTGGCCTCTCCAAACTGAATGTCTTTCGATTTCTTTGTATGTTAACGTATGCTAATACTGTTAAAGTATGTGTGGATTTCAAACTATATAAGGGTGTACTACGAGAATGAATTGAGGGGTATCAAGGAACCCTGTTGGTTATTGTAGAAGTGTACAGTGATTTGGAGAGTAGAGAAGTGGACGAGAAACAAAAATTAATTCAAGAAAGAATAAAGATGTGGGCTACTGATTTTTGTCCCAGGGTTAAGACTATACCCTTGAGAATAAAAAAACAAAAATGTCAGGTATACCTATGTTAACTTTGACTTTTTTTATGTCTTTAAGGGTTCAGTCATAGTTAAGAGTACATTAAAATAGACACACCATCTCAGATAGTCATGGTCATTATAATTTTTCTTCAACCTTTTCTAGCACTTCTGCTTGAAGTATGTAATTTGTATTTTATTCTTCTTGTATAATTCCGCCTACCTTTTATTGTTCTTTCATTACATAAAAGGAAAATCCTAACATAGTACATTCTTTGATAAGGGTTTCCCTCCAAGTTAAGTTTTCAAACATAAGCTCTTCTTAAAGCTACCATTTTAAACAGTCCTTGTTATCTACTACAAAGGAGATAACAGTGTCAATTATACTTAGAAACCCAGTGTCCCTGGCTCCCAAATTCTGTGATTTGCCATTATACCTACCGGACATATTGAAGACAGACGTATCATCACGTGTATTTGAATTATGAACTCTGCCATGGTCAGTGTAAATGAAAGGCTCTCACTGCCACTTCCTCTGCCAACTAAATACATATATTTTAATGTGTCTCCAGTTGTGGAAAGCTTTCAATACAACCATCATGTACTTGTATCAGTTTTTTAAACAAATTTTTACAATCTAAGAATCTTTGGCAAAGGAACTAGGAATGTGCACAGTTACAAAATGATTATTTCATTTTATTTCCTAACATCATTTTGTTACCTTTGCCTTTTTCTTTCAAAATCGTAAGTATCCAGTTTACTTATGAACTCATGCTTAGCTTTTCAAAAACCTTTTTTAGAAACTTGAGTTCGACCTTCTATTTTTTTCTTCTTTTAACTTTTTTGGGGAAGATGTGTTTTTCCCAGGACCCATCCACCTCCAAGTCAAGTTGTCCTTCAATCTCAGTTGTGGAGGATGCAGCTCAGCTCTAAGTCCAGTCACCGTTTTCAATCTAGTTGCGGGCGGCGTAGCCCACCATCCCATGTGGGAGTCAAACCAGCAGCCTTCTTGATAAGAACACGTGTTCTCACAGCTGAGCCATCCGGCCGCCCACCGGTAGCTCAGCAGCAGCTCAGCTCAAGTCGTCTTCAATTTAGTTGCAGAGGCACTGGCCCATGTGAGAATTGAACCGGCAACCCTCTTGCTCAGAGCTCACACTAACCAACTGAGCCACCTGGCCACCCTCAGCCTTCTATTTTACAAGTTTTTTGCATAAAAATTTGATCCTATGAAATATTGTGAGAAGTCATTTTCAGTTTTGTTTGTTTAAATCATAGTGCCTTTCTTTGTATTTCCTTAAAATTACACAAGAAGAAATCATTTTTAATAGTGGCCATAAATAATGTCCTTTGGACAATCAGTCGCTCTCTCTCCAATGTGAGGCCTAGTAGACTGTATGTCTGCATATGTTTGAGTACATTCAGAGAACAGTTTCCCAGCGCGTGAGGGTCTGACAATAATTTCCCATTCACCAACCCATTGGGACCCCGAGGGTTAAGTCTAGATTTGGTTGTGTTGCGATAACAGTGTAAATTAATAAGTGGCCTTGAGCGGGAAAACCTACACCAAAGGAAATCTGAAGAAGTAGGTGGGGGAGAGAGGCAGACATTATTAGTCTTTGCTTTTGTTTTTCAAGCATAATTTGATTTTCCTTTTGCTCCGAAAACTCTTTAGGGAAATTCCCTTCTCTTTGGTGTTCAGTTTTAACCCAGCAATGTCCTCTTAAAAAATCAACATTTTAGGAAAATTAATTTTTCGGGCTCAAGTATGTGAAAATTTTATCCAGACTTCAACATGAGTTGTAATTTTTCTTCATTTTTTTCACTTTCTATTTTGGTTGATACCTCTTTCCTATTCAATGATCAACTTCAGGAGTTAATTTGCCGCCTTTATCCACAGGTTATTGGTGGCTTACACCACTGTTGCTTTTTGATTTAAGGGTATGTAAGCCAAAACCTGGATGGGAGGGAGACATAAATGGTTTGTATCAATTTGTAACAGAGTCGTGTGTTTGTTTTTAATAAAATGTGTATTTATTCAGTATTTTCCTCAGCAATCTGTGGACTAAGTAGAAATAATGTATAGTAAATGGGCATATATTCCCAATGCATTATATTTACCAAGGTAAATATAATTTAAATATAATTTAAAATTCAGAGGCTATTTAATTTGGTTTCTTTTTTGTTGTGCAGAATAAATGATTAAACCTGAACTGCTCTTTGAAACACTGCTGTTGCATTCGATGTGCTTGGTAAACCCACTTTCTAAAGCTTCAGTATATTTTTCTTTTGATTATTTTGTAGCATGTCTCCTTAAGAAGGGGGAAAAAAACTATTTTTCTTCTGAAAATACTCATTTGTTGACATGTAATGAATATGTGGTAAGCACAGTGCCTGGGACGTCTTAACAGAGATTAATTTTCTTCCACCCCTGACTCATACATTTTTGTTCCTTCAACATCAAAGTTGAAAGAGGTGAATTATCCTTTTGACACATCTAGAATTTATTGTAATCTCTTAAACAAGTTTAATTATTAGTTAACTAATTGGCTCATTTCTATGATGTAATTATTTTTGCTTCTGCTTAAAGTATAGAACCAAATCCCTTTTTAATAAGGCGTAGAACAGTTTATTTCTCAAAATGTTTTCATGTGGGAATAAAGACCCTGGTAGAATAATTAACCCTTTCTTAGCAGTTGTCATTATAACTCACATTTACTGAGTACTTCTGCAATACCTCATTTAATCCTCCTAACATAGCTATAAAGGTACTATTATTTAAAATCCTCTTTTTCTGTGGTGAAACTGAGGTACAGAGAGGTTAAGTAATTTGCCTAAGGTCACCCAGTAGTAACTGGTGGAACCATGATTTGAACCCAAGCAGTCTGACTCCAGAGCCCATGATGAAACACTGGTGACGAGTGGGGGGGGGAGGGGAGAGAGTGGGAGACTGGTTAGTGTCCACTTTCGTATATTTAATTACAAATATGTTCTAGAAAAAGCAAACTGGTTTGTGTTCATGTATCTCTTAGTTAACAGTGTCAAGAGCAAGTAATGCAAAACTTGGAAAGAGGTCAACAAATACTTTGTAGAGCTGGCTGTTGTCTAGTTGTCTGTGCTGCCTGGGGATTATCTGATTTTCTAGGGCTGTGGACTTTTTGCTGACTAATTAGGAAGGCTATTTTGCAACTTTATAAGAATAGACAGGTTAACTTGTAGAAAACCTGATAGCAATGCAGGTAACCCCCACTTTTTGAAAGTTCACATTATACCATTTTGCTTTTACAAAAGACCTACATCAGTACCTGTTTTCATTAACTGAAAGAAATCCAAAGAAGATTTTCACTTTTACAAAACAACGAAAAGCAAAAATAGTGTTCAATGTTTGTTTTACAGTGAGCTGTTACAGAAGCAGTGAGCACCCAGAGCAGTGAGAGTGGCCCTGCCAAGCTCCCCAGAACCACACTCGGCATCTCAGCATCAAGACGCCATAGCCTTGAACTGTGTGGGTGAGCATCTGTGCTTTATCTGGATCTATTTTGTGCATCCGTTAGCAAGATGTGTCCTAAGACATCAGAAAAGCCGTAAGAGAGCTCGTAAGGGTGTTAGGCTTAGTGTAAAACTGGATGTAATTAAGCATTTTAATCATGGTGAATAAAATAAAGACGTGCTTCTGTTGAATTGGGGCCTCGGAATGTTAAAAAATTATCCATATGAGTTAATGGCAATTCTTCACTTTACACCATTTTGACTTACAAAGGGTTTCACAAGAACACTTTACCTTCAGATGGCAGGGGAAAGTGGTACAAGTGATTCTTGTCCAGTGGCATTGCAAAGGTTATTGCCTAGTGCAGGGGTCGGCAAACTTTTGAGACAAAAGAGCCAACCCTGTCCCTCACAACAATTTAAAAATCATTCGAGAACCATAAAACAAATGAAATCACCATTATGTGGATAATATCCTTTAAAAATTTCATAAATGAAACTATGATAGTTTATTTTCATTTTCAATTTTACTTCAGAGCCACATGTATGTACCCAAAGAGCCACAGGTGGCTTGCGAGCTGCAGTTTGCCAACCCTAGCCTAGTGAGATTTAATCAGTTTTGCATTTTTATTTGTGCATGCCTTTGACCAATTATAAATCGCTGGGCTCCTGAATTTTCTTTTGAATCAGTCTTTAACATCTTACTGGTTTCCTCATCAATTGAATCAAATAAAATCTTTGACTTCTTTTTTTTCTATTTGTATAAGAGTTATGTTTGTAATTTTTTGAAAATTATATTTTGCAAATAGTATTGGCAACATGAGCTCCCATATAATGATGAAACCATATTTCTGGCCTCCTTTATCCTGAAGTTAAACGTAAGCTAGAAGATGGATAATATACATCTGCGTGTGGATAGATAGATATATATACAGTAATACCTTGGTTTGCAAGCATAATTCGATAATTCATTCTGGAAACAAACCAGTCATATTGCAAGACATCTCTTGTATACCAAGTTAAAATGTATTAGAAATGTTTGCTCATCTTGCAGAACACTCGCAAACCAAGTCACTCGCAATCCAAGGTTTTACTACACATATTTTACATATATACATATTAAATATATATACATATTTAAGAACTATACTTTGATACTAAGATCTTAATATTAAACACAATAAATTGATCAAATATTTAAGAACTATGGACTTACTTTAAGATGCTAACTCAGTGGACCCAGTTTCTCATTTTGTTTACAAAATCTCAACTGAATACTGAGGGTTTTTTTCTGTGTAGCCATTGACTATCAGTGCAAAAGAGATTGACTCATGAATGAGAAAGAAGAGGAATTTTAGGTATTCCCAAGGATCCGTTTGCACAATGACGATATTTCTACATCAAAAGAACACTTCTCCCTGAGAGCCTGGGAGACAGGTAAACAAAGTCAACTTGCGATTTCAACCCAGGGAGTTTTCTGGGATTCAGAAAAATGTTAAATAAACCAGGTCTAATGAAATGGGGGGGGCACAGTATATTTGAGAGGATGATATTTAGGGAGACACTGTCCCTGTAATTATGAGCTCCACAATTTGGTGTAAGTCAGAGAATGCCCCTCACTGACTAAGAGACTTGCTTCCCCGTGCAACTATCTTTCTAGGAAGGATGACACCCAACAGATGATGTCAGATCCAATTGAATGGCCTCAGAGAGAAGGTAAGAATTCGAGATGAATCTTAAAGAACAGCTAGGATTTCATCAGACAGGAGATGTGGGCAGTGCAGTTCAGCCCAAGTCCAGAGTCTTAGCAAAGAAACAGATGGGAACTCCAATGGTGCTATTTAAAGAAAGCATCATGAACAGTAGGACTAGACAAACACACTGGGGAGATGTAGGAGTCTCTTAAGTGCTAAGCTTGAGGAGTTTGTCCTTATTTCATAGAAAAATGGATGTTTGAGTAAGGGAAGGATGTGATCAAGAAGTCCTGTTTAAAACTTCGATCTGGCAATAGTGAGTTTGAAATGGAAAGAAACTAATACCAATTGAACACTTACAATGTGCCAGATATTTTACGTGTGTTCCCCTGTTAAATCTCCATGCCCCAAATTAGGGATTGTGCCTGCTTTACAGATGAGGAGATGAAGATTCTGAGAGATTAAGAATTAAAGCCACCATGGAAATAAGTGGCAGAGATGGGTTCAACCTCCAAAGCCTACTTTCTTTCTACCTTAACGTGCTACCTAGAAGCAAGGGCTGGCAGTGAAAAGACCATTTCAGAAGCTATTGTTAACAATCTATAAGCAATAGGTAATGATGGCCAGAACTAAGATTATAGGTTTGGAAATGGCAAGGAGCATCAAAGGACAGTTTGTGAGATGTGGCAAAGAAAATCCACGCCTAGAGTCTACAGAGTGCCTACCTTTACACCTAGGCTCAGGAAATGATGATGCTGTCCACAGAAAGAGAATTGGGAGAAAGACCTGATTGGGCGGGGAGGAAGATTAAGTTCAGTTTTGATCAAGTTGCTTTTGAGATAGCCCATGGAGGACAGCCTCAGTTTAGGATGCAGCAGGCATCTGACCAGAAGGGAGCGTTGAAGACATCAGATAACTGGTGCAAGCCAAGAAATCGAAACAGACAGAACTTGAGAAAGCGCCTACATTTAGGAGGTGAGAAGATAGAGGAGACAAACAATTAGAAGAAGATTCTGAATCATGCAGCCACCAAAATCAAAAGCAGGAGAGAATTTCGAGGGAGTGACTCAACAGGGTTAGGAGTTGCACAGTGGGAACACTGGTGGCATCAAGGTGCAGCCTGCAGAGAGCTCTGGTCATCCTTGGGGCGGTGGTGCAGGGAGCCCCAAGGCCACGCCAGGCTGAGGGGCTGAGGAAACCACGGGGCTGTGTGGGTGCAGGAAGAATGGGGGAGCAGCACGTCACACATGATTTTGTTGGTCATCAGAAGGAAGGAGTAGAGGAGGGGAGAGAAGGAAGATGCTGGAGAGAGAAGAGATAATTAACGAAACCAATACCCAGGGTTAGGGTCCTAAGGGTGGGGGCGCAGGGGGAAGAGTGTTTTTTCTTTTCTTCTTTCACACCAACAGAAAACCTGTTTTTGTATTGATTTGCCTCTTCTTAAAAACCAGCATTTACAGTCATGTACCCCCAACTTGGAATGGAACTGGCAAGTCACAGTAAGTAACATTGAGCCCTTTTTGAAGCCTTCTGTTTTGACAACAAAGTTTGGCGCTGAGGTCTGCTTGCATTTAGACTGGCGTAGGGAGTGGCCTAGGACCCCTCGGTTTGTAACCTGGCTGTATAAATAGTATTATTATCATTTAAAGCATCCTTTTCAGTGGTTTATAAAACAAACAAAAAAAATGTACTGGCTAATGTCATCTGGAAACTGAAAGTCATGGTCAGCCATACTCACAAGCCAATCCTAAGACTTGGTAAGGATTTTTATTTCAGTCCCACCGAGCTTGCTGTAACTGGGGCGCTGGGTTGCTATGGTGATTCGTTCTCAAAACAGCCCTTTGCCGCAATACATTGAAACAGCAGATGACTCTCCTTTAGGTTGACTTGATCATGACATTAATACGAGTTGAAACATCCCCCTCGCTCCTCCCATCAGGACGCATGTGTAGGACGTTCAAATCGGGGCCCAGAAGGCATTGGGAAAAAGAATTGCAACTGCGGCCTTTTCAACCTGGGCCATCGCAATTCATGCCACTGAAGGCTATTGGCTCACAGCCGGGAGCTCGACCACGGGGGCGGGCTGCAGCTGGGGAAGGTTCATCACTGAAGCAATTATGCAGTTAATTGCCCCAGTGTGGGCATAGCCTGAAAGTTGTGACTCACACCCCATTCTGTCACTAATAATTGCGGGGCCCGTGTGGGGGTGGGGGAGAGGGACAGGATGCGCAGAAAACTCAGCTGCTTCTTCCCATTCCTCTTGCAAATCTGTGGCTCGCTGAGATCTGTCCTCGAGGTGAGGGAAGAAAGGCAGCTCTCAACGCCCAACACGCGACGCTCCTCGCCTCCACCAGTAGGGGTCCCCATTGAGTCGCAGGTCCTAATGGAGCTGCGCTGGAATCACTGGACACTTTGAAGGATGGCCGCACTGTGAATGGGGGTGTATCTGCCTCTGATTCTTGCTTAACCATGACATGGGAGAGAAAAAAAAGTAGCTGCCTGATTTCCAGCATGACTCATTATAAACAAAGGGAGGACAGATTGACTGCCTCTTATCAGAGCCTGAGTATGTGACCTAGGATTGAGGGTGAGTCAGACCGCTTAAGTCCGCAAGGCCTTTGTTGGTGGGAGAGATTTTTTTTTCCCCTGCGGAAGGGGTGGATTTCGCGGGGGCGGCAGGTGGCGGGGGTGCTATTGATTTCTTAAATACTGCTAGTGACCCCATGGTTAAGCCCTGGGCTTTTAGGTGAGGTCAAATTCCCTCAGAACCTAAAGTGCTTCCAAGTTGGAGATAAAAACTGGCCATACCCACAGGGTAACTCATTTGGAGTTGATAGAAATGTTAGGAATCTTGTGGTGACGGTTTCACAACATACACAGATGTCATCAAAGTGTACACTTTATGTGCAGTTCATTGTATGGAAATTATACCTCCAAGGCTTTTAATAAGAAAATAAGTACAGTTAACAGTTTAGTGTGTGTCTGTGGGAGGGGTGGGAGGGGAGACCCAGCCAACCCATTTTTATTGTGATTTCTCATGAAGCTCTGGACACCCCCTCAATTCCTCATCTGTTGCTTTGTTTCTGGGTGCAAACAGACAAAGGAGACATACCTGAAGGGCTCATGATGTCACATCATCTCATGCTGATATGCTGACCCCAGCCTCCCAGAGTGCCTTTCTGGTCGGTGAGTTGTTTATTTTACTCAATGGAGGCAGCGTGGATAAGCATATAAAGCACAGGTGGACAAACAAATTCGGAGTAGGGTAGGGGGGAGATGTTGGGTAGCAAAGGACAAAAGCACCCTTACTGTGCCCGCCCCCACCCCGTCCCCAGCAGCCAGGAGACTGGAGCAGTCTGTTCATGCCTCAGGTGCGTTCATATTTCAGCAAATACAAGTCAAGTCAAGCCAACAGCATAACTGCAGTCTCGAGCTTGGCTGCTGGGCTGTGCCTACAGAACCCACATTTAACCCTTGGACACCAGCAAGCAATTTCATTTAGGGGGAAATGAACATACGTGCCTAGCTGGCAGGAAGGAACGAAGCGGTGTGGTAGGCGGGGCTAATCCAAGGAAGAGCAGCAACGAGGGGAGGGCTGGCCCAGCTTTTTTGAAAAATGTAAACGGCCTCAATTGGGAAATTATGAACATGTGTTTATGCACGAACTTGCTTATGATCTGAAAAGTATGTGAGCGTTTTGTCCTTTCAGATAATATGCCCTCAGTGGACAGGAAATGTGACTCTTCCCTTTGCTATAGGTTATTTTCTCACCAATGCCTGCTTTTGACCACGAACTTTATGGGAAAGGTCTGAATTATTTCTTTCATTTTTCCATATGTCTCTTCCTCCCGCTGTCTTTTGGTGAACAGATTCAATGTGCACATCAAAGTGATTTGGAAAATTTGACTGTCTTAACGAGAAGGTCATGCATGTAGGAGGATTTTGTCTTAATCTCTTTGTCTCTCAGTCACTGTTGCTGAATTTGTGTATGGGGGTGATGGGGGGGGAGGTATAAGGTTGTGTGTGTTCCTTTCTGACTCCGTGGATTTTGTATATACTTTGAATATGTGTCCTTGCCACAACCGGCAATCTCACATATGATGGCTGCATCCTTAATTTCCAGAGATAGTCCCAAATTTCAACTCTTCTTTGGACATATCCCCTTACCCCCACCCTGGTAATGACATTCATACTTTTTAGGTTACTTTTTTGCTATATAAAATACAACTGTAGGAACAATGTTTCACTCAACAAGTGTTTTCTCTTGCAATCCAGGGTCTTCAACATTATTATTTGGAAAACAATGCCAGTTTACTCAGCAGGCATTCGTGTTGGCATAAAGTGCCTACTGTGTGCCAGACAGTGGGACATGACCCAGAGGTTGGAGCTACAGGTTGTTGCTTTATCCAGATCTTAAAGAGTCTGAAAAGCAGAGCCAGCTTTTGTATTTGTAATAATGGGATTACAGTAAAGAATTACTTTTTTTTTTTTTAATAAAATATCCTCATTGCCTGGAAATGACGAAACCTTCAAAGCACTGTGATATGCATTACCGAGCTCTGGGCTGCTATGAGCATAGGTTACAGAAGTTGTAAAAGTATACTTCCTGGCAAACTGCCAAGCAAGGCCTTATTTCACATTTAATGCCTTGTAGGAATAAGATAGCATGAGAGGAGTCTTTCGAGCAGATGAGAGAACCTAGTTATCCTGAAAAGCCGCGGAACCCATATTCTCAGTCGTTCTAGATCTTTGGGCTATTCACCGGTTTCGCCGAGTGGTGCAAGAGGGTACTTTTGAAATGGAAGAGAATTTTTATAAAAGGAAAGACATTCTCCAGGTAGGTCTGTTTCACTTCCTTCGTAGAGCAGTTTAGGGGATAACTTTGTCTGTGGCTTTTAGTTGACGCTTCAAACCTTGTATCCCTTCAAACGGACTCTTCAGGCTGTCATCCAGATTCACGCTTCCTCGGTTTCCTCTCATTAATAACCTTGTGTCCCTTGTCATATTCTAACTTTCGTTTAATGTAGGGTTTTATTCATTGGCATAGTCATAATCCTTGGTTCGTGAAACACGCTCATACATGACTTGCTTTTATTTATTTAGCTTGTTATTTTTAATAATCCAGAAAGTACTCGTGATGTTACCACCCCTCCAAAAAAGCTAGACTCTTGCCAATAAGATTATAACTTACATCTGACTATAAATATTCACCACCCCCCGTTTCTCTAAAGCCAGAGTGAACCCTCATCCTGATTTACATGTTCACTATTTCCTTGCCTTCTTATATATTTTGTCTCATTAGTTCTCGCATGTATTATATGTGTTCCAAAAAGTGTGTGTGTGTGTGTGTGTGTGTGTATTGTTAAGATTCATCCTATTGACACATGTTGCTGTCATTTATGTGTTTTGGCCCCTCTCTAATATTTCACTACATGAACATACCCCAGTTTATTCAGCAACCCTCTCATTACTGGTCACTTGGGTTGTTCACAGATTCTTGATATTGTAAGCAGTACTTTTATGACTATCCTTGTGTCTAGTCTTATACATGTGCAGTCATTTCTCTTGGGTACATACCTAGGAGTTACATAGTACATGTGCATGTTCGATTTTAGGGAAGCCCAACTGCTTCCCTGGGTACCAGCAGTGCCTAACTGTTTTCTGAAGTGGTTGCTCCAATTTGTACTCACATCAGCGATGTGTGTGATTACTGATGGATTCACACCCTCTCCAACACTTCCTAATGTCAGACTTTTTTATTTTTGCTGATTGATTGTGCATAAGTTAGTACCTCATTGTGGTCCTGACTTGCACTTAGACCTACGATGCCGAGCATCTTGTTGTATGCGATTGGCCAATCAGGTCTCCTGGTTTGGGCTCATTTTTCTAAAATTGTTTGTGCTCTTCCACTGACAACATAAACAGTCGATTGATATGTATTTTGTATGCTATATGTATTATATGCTGTATTCTTACAATAAAGTAAGCTAGAGAAAAAATATATGTACAGTATTTATGGGAAAAGAAAAATCACATATAATTGGAGCGATGCATTTCAAGCCCATGTTTTTCAAGAGTCAACTGTGTGTTTTCCCACCCCCCACCCCACCATATACATAACATCATCTCCTCACATTTGGACTATGGAGAAAAATGTAGAAAAGAACCACAGTCTCATCATTCAGCGTTTTTTTCTGTGCTTACTCGTTTGTAAGTTCCTGATACACACATATCTTGTGCCCTGAAAGGCTGTAACCCTTTATCTGGCCACCTGCCCTCTGACCCTAGACATGGACACTGTCCAGACATTACCGTCCTTGACCCAGGGGTAGCCCCTACCAGTGTTGACCATCATTTTGAAAAGCAATGAACTTCTGTTAAAGAAATGATACTTAGAATCTTGGGCGATTCTTCAAAAATAAGGGTGGGCAAAAAAAAAAACCTATATATGATTTGACTAACCAGAGATATATTTCTAGCATGTTTTTTCTGTCTTACTTACATATATAATTTATCTCATTTAAAATAGGATCTCCCTACATAGGCTATTTTGTAAGGTCTTTTTTTTTTTTTTGCCTGGCATTTGTCTAGTTTTTCAATGGGATAAATGTCCTTCTACATCATTATTTGAGTGGTGGAGAGCACTTCCTTGTGTGGGTGAAATCTAAAAGATTTATAAAATGTGCATCACAGCCTCAATCACAATGGATGCTGGCTGTGGCTAGTGCTCTCACACATGCCTGTCAGCCCTGGGCTTTATTAAACCGCTTCTCTGCTGCTAACCTTCATGTTTCCAGTTGTTTCCCTTTTGAAGCAATGATGACATGAGCACCTCGTACACTAAACCTTTTTGCACATCCACGATCATGTTCACAGAAAGGTTTTATCAATTCATAATCACACTAGCAGGGCATACAAGAGCCCAACTGCCCACACCCTCACTAAGAATAGTATCGTTGTGTCTTTCATCATCAGTATGCTACGTTCAAAGGCCATTTCACTATTTTAATTTGTATTTCTCCAATTGCTATTGAGGTTCAATTTTTTTCATATATTTCTTGGGCTCTTGCTTTTGAGTATATGTTCTTATTTCTGTGTGTGTGTGTGTGTGTGTGTGTGTGTGTGTGTGTGTGTGTTGCCTATTGATGTCACTGTCCCTTAAGCAGATGCTCTTCCTTTTATTTGTGAGAATTATGTCTGTTGAGGGGTTTGATGAGTTTCATAAACATGGCAAACATTTGTCTAAATAAGTCTTTTGTCCACTTTTTCTGTGCTTTTGCCTTTCAGATTTTTTAAATATTACATGTCTAATCTTTCAGTATTTTCAAGTTTTCTTTTTCACTTGAGGATATATAAAATCCTCAATTTTATGCATTCTGCCTCAAATTTCCACCTCAATTTTCTTCTGGTATTCTTGGGGTTTTTTTACATTTAAATCTCTGTTCCATCAAAAACATATCAGTTTGTGATGTGAGGTGTGTAGGTAACTTTTTTCAAAACAGTTAGCTGGTTGCCTGATACCATTTACTGAAAAATATTTTCTTTACCTGCTGATGTGATTTGGCACCTTTGTCTTATACTGTATTTATGTTTACACTTGGGTAGGTTTCTGTGCTTTCAATTCTGTTATTATGCTGATTTTCCTATAATCACATCTTATAAGTTTAATTATCATTTTATAATTAATTTTAATAATTTGTTGGACAGATGCCTCCCTGTTATTATGCGCTTTGGAATTTTTATTGGCTAGCTGGCTGTCCTCAAGGGTTCAGTTTTCCAGACAAACATGTAAGAGTCTCATGGTCAAGTTTTCCCAAGAAAGTTATGTTCAGATTCTTATTGGAATTACATTACATTTATGTTATTGGGTAATAATAGACATCTTTACAGTATTAGGAAACTGGTGTGTTTTACTTTACTTGTCTTGAAGTCATTTTTCGTGTCCTTCAGTATATTTTATCATTTGAGTCGTAAATGCTGCACCTTTCTTGCCAAGTTAATTCAAAGTTGTTTCTGTTATTGAAAATGGTGACTAAACTCTCCTTTCTCCCCAAAGTCTAGTCATTCTGCTTTACTAATTTTTATGGATTCTATAACTTAAACCATCTCATAGAACTCTTATTCATTTTAATGGTTTTTTTCAGTTGATTCTTTTGGATATTAGGTAGGGCATCACGTCATTCAAAAATAATAATGATAATTTTG